TGGGAATTCTGGGTCTGGCACTTCCTGCCTGTCCAGGATGGAGCTGCAGCGGGCGCTGAGCAGGAGCTGCGGGAATGGGAATGGGAAATGGGAAAAGGAAAGGAAAGGGAAGGGAAGGGAAGGGAAGGGAAGGGAAGGGAAGGGAAGGGAAGGGAAGGGAAGGGAAGGGAAGGGAAGGGAAGGGAAGGGTTCCGCCTGTACCGAGTTCAGATGCCGCATCTCATCCTCCTGCTCCATCCTCATCCCGGCCGCGCGCTCCAGCAGCTCCCGCCGCTCCCTCTCCTGCTCCTGCTCCAGCTCCGAGCGGGCCTGAGCTTCCCGCAGCTCCTCCTGCCGCTGCTCCGCTCTGCGGGCCCGGCTGCGCTCCTCCTGCGGGACAGGGACACTGCTGGGGACATTCCCAGCGTCCTGGGGGACATTCCCAGGGTCCAGGGGGACATTCCCAGGGCCTCCTGCAGGGACAGGCCCGGGACATCCTGGGACCCTGGGGGATATTCCCAAGGCATTCCTGGGGGACATTCTCGGGGTCTTGGGGGCATTGCCAGGAACATTCCTTGGGGACATTCCCAGGGCCTCCTGCGGGGAGAGTCCTGGGAGGTTCCAGGGACCCTGGCACGAGGGGATGAGGAAATTTGGGAAAGGGAAATTCGGGCTCAGGAAATTCTGGATCAGGAAAAGCAGGATTGGGAAAATCAGGATTAGGGAAGATCGGGAGCGGGAAATTCGGGCTCAGGAAATCGGGAGATGCCCACGAAAGCTGCGTCCTGGCGGGATTTGAGGATCCGCAGCCGATCCGCGAGCTCCCGGCGCGGAGCCCGAGCCTCCTCCTGGATCCGCTGGAATTCCTCGGTGCCGATGATGAGCGAGGCCGGGAGCCGATCCCTGGGAACTCTGTGGGACACGGACCGGGATCAGGGGCACGGGGACAGCTCCTGGTGTCCCCTGTGTCCCCATATCCCACCTGGGTTCCCAAATCCTCTCTGAGTCCCCACTTACCCCACTGAGTCCTCAAATTCCCTGGAGTTCTCAAAATCCCTCAGGGTCCCCAAATCCCCCCTGAGTTCCCAAATCCTTTCTGATTCCTGGGGGTCCCCAGACCCCCTATGGGGTCCCCAAATCCCCATGAGTCTCACATGAGCTCCCGAACCACGTCCTTGGTGAAGACCCGGATGGTTTTGGGTTTGTCCCGGGATGAGGGCACCGTGCCCGGGGCGCTCCTCACGTCCCGGAGCTGCACGATGGCGCTGGAGGGACCTGAAATCTGTGGGAAAGGATGGGGTGAGACCCCAAAATCCCCCCCAAAATCGTCCCACAAACCCACCCTCAAAATCCCCAACGAAATCCCATAAAAACCATTACAAAATCCTCCTGAAATCCCATAAAAACCGTTACAAAATCCTCCCGAAATCCCATGTGTCATCCCAAAATCACCTCAAAATCCCTCCCAAAAATCCCCTAAATCTCCTTGAAATCCCCCACAAAATCCACCAAATTTTAGGGTGAGATTTTGGCCCAAGAGACTCCCAAATTCCCACAAAATGGCTCCATCCTCACCTTCCTCGCCCCCTCCACCTCTTCCTCCTTGTCCGTGTCCTTGTCCCTGTCCCTGTCCGTGTCCTTGTCCGTGTCCCTGTCCCGCTGCTCGTCCCTGCCCAGCTCCGCGCTCCGCACCCGCCGCAGCTGCTCCTGTGGGGACAGGGGACACCACGGGGACATCATAGGGACATTCGGGGGGTACATTCCCGAGGATATCCTGGGGACATCGTGGGGACATCCCAGGGGATATCCCGGGGACATTTCCAGGGACATCCTGGGGAATTCCCAGGAGCAGGAAAATCAGGAGCAGGAAAAAACGGAATGGGGAAAAGCGAGGCCCAGAAAAGAGGGATTAGGAAAAGTGGGATTAGGAAAATCGGGGTAAAAAAAAAAAATATATATATATATAAAAAAAAGGGATTGGGAAAAGGGGGATTGGGAAAAGTGAGTGGGAAATTCGGGATCAGGAAAGTTGGGATCAGGAAAATTGGGATGGGAAAAGGCGGGATCAGAAAAAGGAGGGGTGGGAAGATCAGAAAATTCGGGATTAGGGGAGATCAGGATCAGGAAATTCGGGCTCAGGAAATTCTGTATCAGGAAATTTGGGATGAGGGAAAACAGGATTGGGAAATTTGGGATTAGGGATGATCAGGATCAGGAAAAGCAGGAACAGGAAATTCAGAATTAGGGAAGATCAGGATCGGGAAATTTGCGAAAAGGAAATTCTGGATCAGGAAATTTGGGATCAGGGAAAGCAGGATTGGGAAAATCAGGATTAGGGAAGATCAGGAGCAGGAAATTCGGGCTCAGGAAATCGGGAGATGCCCACGAAAGCCGCGTCCTGGCGGGATTTGAGGATCCGCAGCCGATCCGCGAGCTCCCGGCGCGGAGCCCGAGCCTCCTCCTGGATCCGCTGGAATTCCTCAGTGCCGATGATGAGTGAGGCCTGGGGACGATCCCTGGGAATTCTGTGGGACACAAACTGGGATCAGGGGCACGGGGAAAAAATATCCCGCATTTTGGAGGAAAAATCCTGGATTTTAGGGAAAAAAAACCCTGAATTTTGGGGGAAGAATTTTCAAATTCTGGGGGAAATTATCCCGGATTGAGGGGGAAATAACCCTAAAGCTTGGGGGTAATAAATCCTGAATTTTGGGGAAAATATCCCCGATGTGGGAGGGGAAGCCACCAGATTTTTAGCCAAAAAAATATATTTTTTTTATTTTTTAAACTGAAATTTTGGCGAAAAAATCCAGAATTTTGGGTGAAATAATCCAGGATTTTATGGGGGAAAAAAAAATCACGGATTATTGGGGGGAAAAAGGCAGATTTGGGGAGCCTCACATGAGCTCCCGGATCAGGTCCCTGGTGATGACCCGGATGGTTTCGGGTTTGTCTCGGAGCGCGGGCGGCGCTCGGGGGGCGGCCGTGACATCGTGGAGCAGCACGATGGGGCTGGAGGGGCGCGAGGGCTGAGGGAAAGGACGGCGTGAGACCCCCAAATCCCCCCCAAAATCTGCCTCAAAAATCCCTCCAGAAATCCCATAAACAATCCCCCGAAAATCCACAAAATCAACCCAAAATCCCCTCCAAATCACCCCAAAACTCTTCTAAGTTATTCCAACCTCCCCAAATCACCCCCAAATCTCTCCAAATCCCCTTCAATCACCCCAAAGTCCTCCCAAAATCCCTACCCCAGAACTCCCCCAGATGATCCCTAAATCCCCCAAAAATATCCCCTAAATCCCCCCCAAATCACCTCTAAATCCCCCCCAATCACCCGAATTCACCCCAAAATGCTGCCAAATCCCTCGATTTCCCCAAATTCCCCCCGTGTCACCCCAAATCACCTCAGAGTGCCACCAAAAATCCCCCACATCCCCCGAAAGTCCCCCCAGATCCCCTCAAAATACCCCCAGCTGCCCAAATCCCTCACCCGGTGCCTCCCGGTTCCCCTCCCGCTGCCCAAATCTTTCACCCGGTTCCCCCTCGGTGCCCAAATCCCATGCCCGGTGCCCAAACCCCCCCGTCCCCAGCCCTGCCAGGTGCCCTCCAGTGTCCCCCGGTGTCCCCGGTTCCCATTCCCGGTGCTCCCGGTGCCCAAATCCCCTCTCCCCAGCCCTGCCAGATTCTTCCCGGTGCCCCCGGTGCCCCCCGGTGCCCCTCCCCGGTGCCTAAATTCCCCCTCCCCAGCCCTGCCAGATTCCTCCCGGTATACCCCGGTGTCCCCGGTTCCCCTCCCCGGTGCCCCCCGGTGCCCAAATCCCCCCTCCCCAGCCCTGCCAGGTACCCCCGGTGCCCCTCCCCGGTGCTCCCGGTGCCCAAATCCCCTCTCCCCAGCCCTGCCAGGTTCCCCCCGGTTCCCCTCCCCGGTGCTCCCGGTGCCCCACCCCGCACCCGCTGCTCCCCGGGCGGGCTCCGAGCCCCGGAGCTGCTGCGGAGCCTCCGCCGAGCCCGGGGGGGACGGGAGGGACCGGGGGGCTCTGGGGGGACACCGGGAGGGCTGTGGGGGACACGGGACCCCGGGGTGACCCCAGGAGGGTTTTGGGGGACACCGGACCCGGGGGATTTGGGGACACGGGACCCCGGGGTGTCCCCAGGAGGGTTTTGGGGGACACCGGACCCGGGGGATTTGGGGACACGGGACCCCGGGGTGTCCCCAGGAGGGTTTTGGGGGACACCGGACCCGGGGGATTTGGGGACACGGGACCCCGGGGTGTCCCCAGGAGGGTTTTGGGGGACACCGGACCCGGGGGATTTGGGGACACGGGACCCCGGGGTGTCCTCGGGGTGGCGGGAGGCGGATCCCGGGCAGGGGCGGCTGTCGAGTGTCGCCATTGGGGGATGAGGATGTCGCGATTGTCGCCAGGTGTCCCCAACCGGCCCCGGCGCGAGCGGCGCTGTCCCCAACGTCCCCAACAGCCGCGGGGGGATGGAGGATCGGGGGGGCCTGGAAAGGGCGGGGTGGACCCCAAAATCCCCCCAAAAATCCCACTAAAAACACCCCAAATCCACTCCAAAATGATATAAAAATCCCCCCCAAGCCATCAAAATCCCAAACCCCAAAACTCCCTCCACAATTCGCTGCAAATTCCCCCAGTTCATGAATTATTATTTCCTTCACATAGAAAACATTTTCTTACATTGTTAAAAGTTTTCGGTATTTTCATTGATATGCACAACTTACATTTCTGTGCGCGATTTAACCACAACCATTTCACCGGTCCCCGAAATCACAGCCTTCCGACCAGCAGCGTGGTACCACTGCCCCTCCACTGGTACCTTCCCAAATCATCCCACTGCTATCCCATAATACTCCGCATTTCCAGCGGGCATCCTGTCTGACCCTAAAAATGCACCGAGGAATTCAAAAATGGCCATTGGGAAAGCGTAACAACACCCTAAAAGACACCAGAAAAGTCCTAAAAAGCCTTCAAAAATCCCCTAAATATTCCTAATAGTCCTAAAAAAAACCCCTCAAAAAAACCCCAAACAAAACAAAACAAAAAAACCCCCCAAAACCAAAAGAACCAACCCAAACAAACAACCAACCAACCAAAAAAAAAACCCCCAAAAAAACCTCAAGGAAGCCTGCTCAGCCTCCAAACCCCTTCCTGTCGCTCTCTAGCCCACAGATGTCATCCCTACCTTTTTGCAGCGGGTCCTGTTGTCCTCTGCGGGTTCTGTGCTGTCCTGGTGCGAGGGTCGCTGCTCTGTCCCGGGGAGGGTTCTGGTGTGGTCTTGTTATGAACAAAACAGCCTGGCTGGGACACTTGGCTCCAATTAAGTACTGACATTGAAATGTTAATTAGCTAATTGCTCCTGGGAATCACCTACCCCCACCCAAACTAGGACTGGGATGCAAAATAATCCAGTGGAATCATGGGAGGGGGTTTTGGGGATGAAAAACATGGAGACCCCAGGGACAGACCCTGCATGGAGACCCCAGGGACGGACTCTGCCACCTTCTCACCCTTCGGCTACCGGGAAAAAGCTACACCACCCCCCTGCCGAGCTGACTTTTTAATAAAGAGCTGAACACTAATAAAGGCATAGACCCTGCTCATTTCAGTCTCGCTGTCAGGCTTGCTGTGCTGTGCTGCTGTTGTTGGGGGTGAAAAGGGAAAAGGCTGCTTAGGGTGAGGTACGGGTGGCGTGAGGGGTGCCGCACCTGTACCCTAACTTGCCTCCTAAGCTGTACCCTGTAGCCCTGATCCCCACTGGACTGTCCAGCGCTCAGACCCTCTCCCTTCACCCCTGACCCCTCCCTCAGCCCCCCAGCCCTCAGGCTCTGGCTGTCACCCTCGAACCCCCCTTTGCCCCTCAAGCCCCCTCTCAGCTGCCCCTCAGCCCCTGTGTGCCACCCTTAATCCCTCTCCTCTGCCCCTCAGCCCCCAGCTTCTCTGTGTCACCCTCCAGCTGCCCCTGCCCCCCTCAGCATCTCTCTGTGTCACCCACTGTCCTCTCCCCTGTTCCTCCCTCAGCTCCCAGCCTCTGTCACCCTCAAGCCCACACAGTGCCCCTCAAGCTGCCCCTCAGCCTCTATGCCATGAAAAGACCCTAAAAAAACATAAAAATGCCCTAAAAAACCCTCATCATCAAAATGTGGGGTTAAAGGTGGTGGGAGGACTGGTTCACCTGTAACCCTCAGGCTCCCCCAACTTTGTCCCTCAAGGCACCCCCAGCCTTTCAACCTCCTTGTGTCACCCTCCATTCCCCCACGGCAGACTCTCAGCATCTCTAAGCCCCTGTTTTTACCCCTAAATACACATTCTGTCCCTCAGCCTCCATGTGTCACCCTCCAGCTCCCCACCGCAGCCTCTCAGGGTCTCTGAGCCCCCCTTTTTACTTCTACAGACCCCTGCTGCCTCTCAGCTACCCCCACCCTCTGTACCACCCTCAAGCCCTCAGCCATCGGAGCCAGGTCCCTTCGTGACACGGTCTGGGAGTCCAGAGAATCCCTCTGGCTGCGTGCGTAGGTCGGAACCCTCGAAGGCCATCAGGAACCCCCCATACAAAGCCAGAGAGACACTGTCTCTGATCTCTGTACAGCCCTACAAACTGACATCAGGAACCTGGACTGCTGAGTTTTCTTTCCCAGCGAAAATGCCCAAAGCATGTACCCAGGGGCTCCTGGCCCTGGACTGGTACCTGACTGTAAAGAATCCATGTATCAAAGGATGGAGCCCACACCGAAGTTGTCCCCACCTCAAACTTGTGCTGCCCTGATAGACCCAAGGGAGCCCTACAAACTGACATCAGGAACCTGGACAGCTGAGTTTTCTTTCCCAGGGAAAATGGAAAAAGGATGTGCCCAGGGGCCCCCGGCCCTGATTGCCAAAAATCCCTATATCGAAGGATGCACCCCACACCGAAGTTTTCCCCACCTCAAACTTGTCCTGCCCTGATAGACCCAAGGGAGCCCTACAAACTGACATCAGGAACCTGGACTGCTGAGTTTTCTTTCCCAGGGA